ATTGATTATTATATTTTCCCCTACAATTTAAAATTTACATGTTTTTAATCATAATGATGAAAGATTAATTAATTTTTCTGAAGTAAAAGTGTTTATTCACGTCTAAATAAGAATTTACCAACGATTCATGTTTTTTTGTTATACGTGAACTTTTCCAATTAAAATGGCGCATGTAAAAATAGCAGATCCGATTATCTCGTTAACTCGCAAGTGAGATAGAACTCGATTTGATCCATGTTCAATTTATCATACAATTTATCGTCGTGACACGTGACGCGTGTTATATATAAAATATAAAGAGACATTTCTCTGTTGTTATTTGTCCTACTTTCCATATCTAGCCTATGGTATAAAAACAATACTTGACAATTCTTCGATAGATTTATCTTTTAAGTTAAAGGGGCCAAAACATAATAGAGAGAACGGAAGCGCGACATCGATGACGTTGCAGTTCATGCTGGAAACTTGCTTCTCCGAATTATGGCCAACCCCGTACGCGGTTAAGCTAATGGCGAAATCGCGTTATGTCGAAAAGGGGACATCGAGAAGCAATGGCAGCATCAATTTCAGGATTATACGCGGTAGTCAGATCACTGCGGGAAGAACGCGTCCATCATCGTCTGATGTATCGCGGACCGTATCTACTTGCGACGCGTTTAGCTTTTAAGAAACGACCAGAGTTTGCACTCCTGATAACTTGCAGAATTTACTGCGACATTTTGTACGATTTTTTACACACTATCACATATAGGTCAGTACAAACTAAATAGCTGTTGCTTTTATTCCTTAAATAAATAATAAAGGAATATAAATCTTCATAACTCTGTATAATTATTATGTTGGGTATAAATATATTTTTTAAATATATATTGTAAATATTATATATATATTGTATATTGTGTAAAATAAATTCTTAAAAAATAATACATAAATATGCAGAATTTTTAAATAAAACTGTAATATTTTCTAAGTAAAGAAAACATTAAATGACTGAATACTGTTGGATAAAAATATAAAAATATGATTTTTTTAAATAATAGTCAAACCTTAATTTGTGTGACCTATATTAATTACAGCTTTAATTGACATTTAATGTCTAGAAATAAACCATTCTGAGAAAATCGAGAAAAAGGAGATCGATAACGAGTGACAACGACAATAAATTTTCGACACAGCAGGAATTTGGAAACGCGATCGCGACACAGATATTCTTTGTTCTGAAATAATACCGATCGAAAAAAGTGCATTAGCCGCGATGGAATGATAGGTCGCAGGCGAACGGAGAATCGAACATGACCGACTAAATTTTGATCACTAGAAATCCGATAGCCGGATATCTTCCTTTTTCTGAACCGTCGAGTCAGTTTCCTATTACAACCCCGTTGATGGACCAGAGGAAAAAATTTCGGGAGATAATGCGCGGGCTAATGTTCGAAGATATCAGGAATTTCTCGCGCGAATCAAGGAAATGTGTATTGGAAAAAGTAGATTCTATAGTTTGCGTAACTTTTCCAACAGACTTTTCTATCTCGTATTGTGTGACAAGAAAAGCCATAATTGTATTTTTGTAGAATAAGTTTATCGAGGCGTAAACTTATATATATTCAAAGAAGATCATTACGCGTTATAATCATCCGTCTTTCCTTCATTTTTCTTGCGCCGAGTCTTTTTTCAGAGATAGGGAGTCGCGATGCTGCATTAATAACGTGATGTTTTATGCCGAGAGCTATAAGATAAGATATAGCCAAGTTAAACTTTCAAATTCTTACAATATGGTGAAAGCACTATATCACTATTTGTGAAATTTACGAGCGGCATTATTGATGTATTCTTCAAAAATTTATATTTTGTTTGTATATAACGAGTCTGCAACAAAACTAATTAATTAACTTTAATAAGTTTTGACAATTCAGCTTCGCAAAAAAAAAAATATTTTTATTGGCAAAAATCCGCGCAATTAATCGTACAATTAGGACTTTAATTGCTGTACATGACGTTACAGTTAGTGTTCCTGACATTCACCGGGATCAATTGTATTTGCGTATCGTGAATGCGCAACATCCCTGTGAGCACAGCAGTTCCCGTAATATCGGTGCCGTGTTATCCTTACTAACATGGTCACCCGGTATGCAAAATAGCAATTCACATAGTACTACGTAAACAGTCACCGAATACCGGTCAGGGCGTGATCTTTGGGCTTGTTTGTCCGAATGTTCGCTCCCTGATCCTTCACCAAGAACAAATTAGAAGTCAGCCTCGGGTCACAATTAAGGCCGTGGCTTTCAACACAAACGAGCAGGTCTATTCGGAAGCTGGTCACATGATTTAGTATCATATCGCAAATTCAATATTTCAGAATTCTATTCAAGATTCAATCTGCGCGGATCTGTTTTTACAATATAATTATGAACTCTCATTGAATTTATCATCTTTTTCTCGATCGTGATATTTACATAATCTCATATACATTCTGTTAAACTGTATTGAATAATAATTCATTGTTTCAGGTGAAACGATGCTTTATAATTTAACGATTATTTATAAAATTATAATTTATTTCTCTAATTTAATAAATTTTAATAATTATCTGAATAATGTTTTAATATTCCATTAATTTTTATTAATAAATTATTTATACAATTGCAATCATTACTTTAATTTAAACATTTTTCTTCAATTATCCTTATTATTTCCTTCATCTAATTATTCTAATTAATTAATTTTGTAATTGCATCTTTTATTATTTTTCCATGAAAATCTTACATCAGAAAAACTGCGCATTTTTTCTCTTCATAATTAAATAATATAATTATAAATTTTATTCTCCATAATTTAATATATTTTTTACAAAAACTTTCATTTATTTATGTTATAAAGAATCTATTACGTGAAAATAATAAAAACTTTATTGTTTGGATATAATTCTTGCAAAAACTTTTAATCAGTGTTTTTGCAAGAATTTCTTCGCCTAGTTGTCTTACGCGTCCCTTTCTACTCAGTTTTCACTACGTCGCCTCCAATACGTGTTGACGTTTCTGACAGAATATCAGAAATATAATGGGGGACTGCTAGGATACGAGGCAAATGATGCGTGAATAACGAGGACGGTATCGTGGTTGAACGAACCATTGTCAGCTATCGAAGCGCGAATATCCAACGGTTGTATATACGGAGAAATTCTTCAGTAAAGCACATCAAAATTAATAATGTCAATATAATAGTTGAGTCTTGAGACAAGTCTTGAAACTACAGATAATGATTTTGAAAAAAGACAAAAGAATTAAAACAACGCGCAATCGCGGAAATAAAGCGTGGTAATTATCTTCGAACGAATGCTGCATTGTGGAATTTTTTCCGAGTTCTAGACGTGAAAACGATAAAGAAAGATTTTAATAAACGCGCGCGCGTAACAAGATTCCCTAAAATATTTCTCGTCGATATTTTTTCGTCGAATCTTGAAAGTAATTCAAACGCTCGATACCGCTTCATAAATATTTTCGTAAGACGTGGCGGCTATTTCTCCCGTCTATCCATGCATGAATGATCGTTCATCGTGATCAACGTACGCGCAAAACACAACTGGGTGCGTTCAAAGTTCCTTGGCTAGGGTGAATAAGAATATTGAACCTTCGATGCGTTAAAGGCGATTTATTATGCGAGAATCTCTCTCGTCGAGACAAAAATATCGAGAATTTTTGCCAGCCGTTATGGAACTTCGTTCAGCGCATTCGCTGCGCGGCGAACGTAAAATTTATGGAGATTGATCATGCGCCAATTAATACCGTAATAATTCTGGAATATGCATGTCGCGCTGCTTTAATTCTACGCTCTGGTTATTTGCAATACATAAAAGTGCCGGATGTTATTTCTCGTCTAAGTACATTATACTAATTATATTTCCCTGGTAGAAATTGCCTTGCCGGTGCCACGACACTTGCTAGCACCATGCAAGTTTGCCACACTACAGCCTTATCTAAAAGAACTGGAAAAATACATATCAGGGCCATCCTTGCGCCTGATATATAAATGACGTGGTATTCATTATAAAGTTAAATGGCCGCAAGTCTGGATTTGACCAGACTTCTAATGCGGCCCATATTTGCGCCACGTCAATTGCTGTCAAGATTTTTATTGATTTTCACATGTAATTTATATCTTTTGTCATACATATATCTCTTGTTTTTTGGATCCTTTCCTTTGCCTGGATTTTTTGCATGCAGGGAAATTGTTAAACGAGTATTTAGACGTCTACACAGAAATTTGTGCGCATATACCATATATAAATATATTGTTAAACGGAACTCTTCCGGGCCTTGTTTATTAACAAATAAATTTTTTTCTGTCGTAAATAATCTAAAAGTAAGTAACCATACTCATAATTTTTGGCACCAAACACAGAGACGACTGTAATAAATTGTTAAACGAGTATTTAGACGTCTACGCAGAAATTTGTGCGCATATATATAAATATATTGTTAAACGGAACTCTTCCGGGCCTTGTTTATTAACAAATAAATTTTTTTCTGTCGTAAATAATCTAAAAGTAAGTAACCATACTCATAATTTTTGGCACCAAACACAGAGACGACTGTAATAATAACTACAATTTTATCGAACATTAGAGACTTTAAGAAATTGGTCGAGAATAAGAAAAATTATACAAGAGAACAATTGTTATAACTTATATTTTTTATATGTATTACTATGTTATTGCAATTATATATAATATTAATTATATTATATATAGTCTCAAAGACGCGTAACACTTTATTAAAATTTATTTTTTCGTTATATTTTCTATTTTCTCGTACTATTATCATTGTCAGAAAATGCATTTAAATTCATTTTATATTTTGTTTAATTTTATGATAATGAGAAGGTATGAATTTACATATAATAAAATCTTTGAAAAGAAGCTTGAAACAATAGAAAACATGATAATTATATGAAATTAGTCAGAAATATCAATAGAAAGCATTGTTTATTCTACCTATACTCACCGATCTCCGGTATGTTCCTGTCATGATCGCCCTCGGCTGAAAACTGAAACAGAAAAATATTATATATGATCAAACACACATATATTAATTGACATTATCATATATTTTAATGATGTAAAAAACTCATATAAAATAGAATATACGATGTAGAAAATTTAACCTTAGACAAAATAAAAATTGTATCATATAACATTGCACGTATAATTCATAATATTTCTTTCGCATTCGTTCTATATGTAGTGCAGTTTCACTTCCGCAGTATAAAATCATTACTTATCGTCCAACGTTCTGGCAATGATGCAAAATCGCTGATAAAATATGGCATACCGCTGTTTTTCCAGAAATCTAACAAATATTGTTACTTTTGCTTTCTTATCTAACAGAGACAAAAGTAAACCGATCTATATTCTGTAACTTTTAAGAAAAACTTTCGCTTTGATATGTTTATAAAAAAAGCATTATTTGTCTTTTCTGAACACGCCATATATTCTGTAAAACAAAAGTTCTCCGTGAAAGTTATAAAGTGCACAGGATAATGTAACGCATAGATCGGTTTACTGTCGTGTCTGTCAGGTAGAGAAATAAAAGTAACAATAGTTGTTAGATTCTTGAGAAAGCAACGGTATCATACATTTTACTAGCGATTTTGTATTATTGCTAGAATGTTGAATTTTTTTTTTTTTTACTAAATTTTGCCGAAATTGAAAGCATTCTTTTCGGGTGACATTTTGCTATCTATCCCACTATTATCCTAAGTAAACTTTATTTGACGAAAACAAGGAACACCTTTTTAGGTAATCTGTCAAGCATAAAAGCTTGAAAAAAGGGTAGAGAAAAAATTATGATTTATGCAATTCAAATGTGTTATTCAATTTTCATATTATATCACTTTATAACAATTATCAAAGTCATTTTGAAATGGTTTAACAAAATGAATTTAATACTTCGTGGTAAAATATGATGGTTAAGCATACAATATTAATTTTAGTAAAACTCAAACTATTTCCATACATAGAAATATAAATTGAATTGATTAAAATTTAAACGTATATTGCAAATATGTATTATAAAAGCATAAATTTTATAAAATTGTAAGAATTGTTTTGTTTATTTTATAAATTATTGGATAAAATCACTTGTTCAATAATTTTCATTCTATGTAATAAATGTTATCACTTAAAAGCAAAATGGATGTAATTCTGTGTGTCACAAAAGCTAAAGCCCCAAGATATTTATTATTATTATTGAAATATTATCTTTTGTCATAATCAAAGTAAAAAATTATTCGAGTGAATCAATATTTTTCGCGTTACATGTTGCACTCACGTAATAATTGAAAAATCTATATGCCATGCAATTTGTTAAAGTAAAATTTAAAAAAATACGCAAATGAGCGTGTCGATGATTAAACAAGATATTTAGCGTCACAAGATATATCAGCGATTTCAATGATTAAATTACGTGACACTGTGTAATATGCACAAACGTCTCGAGTTATACATTCGTAAAATAGAAATGAAACGTATAGGATACCGAGAAAAAAGTTTGCCATTCCGACTTTTATTCTTCAGCTTCAGCTTGAGCGGATTGTCGCGATCTCCACGAAATATAAACTGGATTTATTCAGGAAATCGTGACTTTTCCTGATAGAAAACCGACAGGAAGATATCCCGCGACTCCCATCGCTCTTTTACCACGAGAGAAATTCGCATAGCTAACCCTCTTTTGCGTGTGCAAAAGGGAAATGGCGAGAACCTCTTGAGAGAGCAGCCTCTTCCTTGCGGGTTAGACCTTCCGGGCTTAGGAAATCGATAATCTATCCTCCCTCGCTATCCCCTTTGCTTCCTGCAATTCTCCTCGATTTAGGGCCCACGCCGTCTTCGCGCTCCAATGTTCAGGTGTGTCGATCGAGAACCCAATAACGTCGCACGTCGGAGAGGTTGATTGAGGATGTTCGCCGATACCTCTCGCTATATATCCATGTTATCACGTCTTCCGGTTTAACTGATAATCGCCTAATATCGGCGAATTAACACTTTCTAAATTATCATATTATTATTAACTTATTATCATTAATATTATTATTATATTATTTTTATTAATAAAAATTCGAAGAATTTTGTATTACTTAATTGTTATTTTTTCTCATATTTATTTAAATTAAATTATAATCAAATTTTTCTTCTGCTCTTTTATATTTGCAGAATGATTAAAAAAGATATTTTCTGTCTTATTGGAGAAAAATTGATATATATGTATATATGTTATATATATAGAGTTATTTATATGTAGATTGCAAGCTTTATCACGATGCGTTAATCTCATCTCGAGATGAAAATAGAACAACGGGGGAAATTCGACGTCGCGTCGTTCCGATTTATTTTCGCGCCAGTTCGAAATTCTCCATCTCCATCATGAATGTTTCGTGCAGAACTCTAATGGCAGCCCTTTTCTGCTCATAAGTGCCCGCGCTTCCGGGACACGTAAGCCGCGAGAATTGATGGAAGCTCGTTTCGCTGTCTGCCTGCGAAAACCGAGCTTCACGTGAAATTGATAAATTCACGTGGAATTCGCGGAAACTCGTAATGTGGGACACGAACGACAACCTTGTTCCTGTTTGATAAACTTCTCACTGCGAATTTATGAAGCCAACCTCCAAGAGTTTTCGCTTGCATAACATTTCGTGATGTCATGTATACACTGAAAGGAACGAGTGTAAACAGGATGTTTCGTAAAGTTTGCATCTCAAACTTCAAAAACGTGCTTGTTGACAAATATGTATCTAAATCTGTCTTTGTTTGAAATTTAATAATAAGATGTTGCAAAGTCAAGTTGAAGTTGAAAAAAGTTCTTTGAACGAATTAAGTTTTATGAGTTATACAACCCAGACAGCACATGTCCAAAATTGATGCATCTTTGACGTCTTTATGAAATCTTATGATATGATATCCAAAAGACATCTTAAAACATCTTAAAGATATCTTAAAGATATCTTATGCGTCAATTGGACATGGCTGTAGAAACATATCTTAATTTTGCTACATTATCTTATAATTTGTTAGGTTTTAATTTTACTTCAATAGAATTTTATTTGACAGTTTATTTGTAAAATTACATGCTGTTAAAATTGAATATCAATAAATGACTTCATCTAAAATTATAGAATCTTGTTAAGGAAAAATCAGCTCTATAAAAAGATAAAAAATTTTAAATTATTAAAAAATGTGATAGAAAAAAACATCTGGTAGATAAATTCTTATTTAATAGTCAATGTCAAGTGCAGCTTACTCGTAATTTCGAATGAAGCGATAAACAACCATTTCGACATTTTTCAAACAAATTTTCCCGCAATCCTTTTATATAGGTTGCGAAGAGAATTGTCCCTTTTATACCGTTATCAACCAATGGCCATGAAACCAACAACCAACATAGGCTACCTGGATGGTTTGAATCGTACGATGTTTGCCAACTCGTTGAATTTATCTCAATTCCATTAGTCTTCTAAATTTAGACATGAAGATCGACGCTTTACAAGATTACTCTCTGTAAATTACGGCAGCAACTTCTTTTTCGGATGTTAATCAAGTCATGAAGATTGACCTTGATATAATTTTATTCTATTTAAAGGCTTCCTGTTTACTACAAGCAATTTGTGACACGACAAATTAACTTGTCAAAAATCCGCTCACGTTTCCAAACAACTTATTTTTCTCGACAACACAAAAATGTATTCTTTAATTTTTCTCTGACGAAAAAATTAATTGAAAGAAAAAACATTTTTGACCTGCTGGAGAATCGGAAGAAAAAAAAATATGAAAATTCCGTTTTCTCCCAATATGTCCTTCGAGAATCTAAAAGTCAACTTTTAATTAAATAACTTTTAATAAATATTTAATTAAAAGCGTCGAAAATATAATTGCTCATTATAAATACACAATACAAATAATATATTTTATCTTTGTGCAAAACATATATAAAAAAATTTTAATAAACCTCACACATCGGTTCGTTTAATTAAATATTCTCAATATTTCGCAATCGCAAACTTCTGAAAGGAATATTGAGCGGTGGCTAGGACGTGCATTAAAGAAGTCTGGATTTAATATCTTCAACTAAGTGCTTATTAAACTTGCAGTTAACTTCAAATTAAATATTCCGCGATATTCGAAAGATGAGTACCAAAGTGCACTGGAGTGCGAGAAATTTCAATATTGCATTGAAAATGTAATCAAATATTAATGACACATGTCGCGCTTATGAAGAATATGTAAAATATATCGTAATAGCAGAAAGTAACAATATAAAAAGCTGTCATACAGAAATGTCAAAAAAAAAAAAAGATAACGCTTAAAATTGCAGAATGAAACCGAAAATCCCTCGTGTATTTATGAAGCTACCCTGAGATTCCTTGACGATTTATCTTTTATATCCTATCGATGGCTGCGAGCAAAATTGTACTCTCGCAAGGTGACATTCTATAGACTCCTTATCGTTCCTTATCCATCAGCCTGGCAGGAGGGAACCAGCGTCGATAACGCGGACAAAGAACGCGCGAGAACGAGAGATAAATGAGAGAGACGGCGCAGAATTCGATTTCCTTCGGTTTTGCGCGATCGCCGGAAAGTATGCATGTAACAATAAAATGCGTAACGAGGGAGAGAAGAAGGGAAGAATACACGGGCGGTATTTCCTTCGTCATTATGGCGATTGAATAGGGATCCTGATTAAATCGCGTCTGGGGACGCGACTCCCATTGATTAAAGCGACTGCCTAAGCAGAATTTGTGCGTCCGCAAAAACACCTACTCCGATCGAAAATGTTCACATATATGAATGTATAAACATCGTCGATTGTCAATCCAAAAAAGACACGTCGAAGCTTTCGTCGAGAAGAGTCGATCGATTATTCGGTCCAATTTTACGAGCGGATGCGTCACGTCGACAAGTTAATTGATGTCACGAGTCGCGTCACGAGTCCATGGCTTCGCTATCCATGTCGCTACGATTGTTCGATCGAATCGTCCGACGATATTTGCGAACGAAGACATATGAATTTAGGACAATTCGCTAATTGCTTGGGACGGTTATTACAACCGGGAATTGAAGTCGTGAATTGCAATTGTGATGAATTCAAATTTGGATGCACAATACAAGCATGATTGAGCATTATACATATTTCGACAATCATCATATTATATGAATTAACTCAAGATCATAGTATCATTACTATTAACTCAAGATGTTCTTTTTTGCAGAAACATCTACTAGATTCATCTTTCTTCTCCTAAATAAAATTCGGCACGTAGTATAGTTCAGCACAAATACAATCCTGTATCTAACCATTTATATGATATACCGCTTCTTATATATACCCTCTTTCTTATATACTTGTGTGTGACAGAAAAACTCCCGTGAGGATAAATGATGGTGTACGTTAAGAGCGTGAGGACCAAATCCCTTGCCGTTCATCGTTCTTCTCGGATATTTTATTTTTTACATCACGTCGTTTGTTATCAAACTGTCGAGTTCAATGAGAAATACCGACAGTGACGTAAGAATTGATTATCCGCCGTGGATAATTAAGAGTTTATACGTTTAAGTAACACATTCAAGTTTTTCGTTTCGCGATATCATCAATTTGCTGAAAGAAGAGGACGAGCGTGATTTTTCGGTGTGAAAAGGAGATGTTTTTGCACTTGAAAATTTATTTAAAAATATATATCAGAAAAGTCATTGAAATTCGTTGCATATATCGAATAACATTTTAGTTATATATTGAGAAAATAAACTGTTTCTTATATTTTGAGTTTATCCCGAGAAATGTGATTCCAATATCTAAATCTTTAATCGAAAGGCAATATTTGTTATTTTTGTAAATGGTGTTCCCACTTTTTTTTATTATTAAACAGATCACAAATGCCGTCAGAGTTCATTCAAAAGAGTCAGAGTATCAAAACTCATAATCAACTTATTGTCAATCGTAAAAAATAAGACGTACATCAAGTTCACAAAGTTCATGTTTCTTCTATAAATAAAAATGTATTATAAATGTTTACTATCTAATCTCTTATCTTATGTATATTCATGTGGCATTAACAATCAGAATAGATATATTTTTTCTTATACCGAATAATCGACAACTCGCTGAAAACAATCGACCAGAACGGTTCCCTCTCCGATATCGCGGCACTTGCAAATGCAACTCTTACCAGTCTCTCTCGAGAGCTTGAATAAAGAGCGCCGAATAAGGAAAGTGTTCCTATACATTATCATTGTGCAGTGTCAAAAGAGGTTGAAAGCTAAATAAATTTATAGATTCTTATGTTTCTGCTTTATTTCTATTGCATGGCGATAATCGCCATCCTTTATGCTATGTTTGACGTAAATTATTTTCTAAAATTTTCTATCCTTATTATTTGGGCAAGATTATTTAAAAAAAAAAGGAAGCTGTTAGACACAACTACATTTTACGGTAAGTTAGATCTTGAGTTTCGTCAGTGTAAAAAAAACTTTGTTAAATGTTAATGAGCTATTTATTTTTATTTTGTTTTATATAACAAGTTTATCTGCGCGCGCTTCGTGATTGAAGAAAATTAAGTTTTAAAAGAAGATAATAAAAAGTGAATGGAGAAATATAAAGTCAATCATTGTGTTACATTTTTTATGATAATTGGAAGGAAACAGTTATATAAAAAAGATGAATAAATTTACAGACATATTATTAAATATTTTACGTAATAATTATAAAAATAAAATGTGAAAAAATGAATACATTAATATATCTGCTTGATATATAAATTTTATAAGTAGAATTTATAGTTTCTATATTTCGCTAATACTAATTTATTAATAATCATTGAAATGACACATAATAGCATAATAAATGTTTGAATAATAAAAAAATTACGTAATATACTATTTTTCATAAGTAAAAGTAAAGTTGGTTTTAAAATCAGAATTTTAATTGCAATGTGTAATCAGTCAACATTTAAATTTTGTTATAAGAATGTTTCTTGTTAGAGATAATTCTTGTAAGAAAAATATTAAGAAAAATATTAAAAATAAAATTTATTATTAGAACAATTAAATGACACACAGTGTAACATCATATCACATAAAAAATCAATTCCGAAATCAATAACAATGATACAATCAAGGATCAACTTATTTCATGCTGACAAAGCATCAATGGCAAGCAAATAAATTGCATAATTACAATGTTTGCGATATAATTTTACATATGTAAATCCTTGATTCTTGACCTTGACATTAATTTCGAATTTGATTTTTGCACGAACAATGTTACGCAAATGTCATTTAATTATTATCATAATATAATTCTATAATAAAATTTTAATAATTTTTTCCAATATTTTCTCGAAAGGATTATCTTTAAATTTTTAAACAAAATTTTTTATATAAATTTTTATATATTATATAATTTTTAGTATAAGATATAAAATTTATTATACTTGGCAAAATTTTATAGTCACCATAAAATTATATATTTTAATCGTCTTATGTTAATTGTATTTTTTTCAGGTATCTGTACTACTAAGGATATAGATATAGTTTTAAAGCATAAGAACAATGCAAGATACTTGCGTGATTTGGATTTCGCACGTTATTATTATTATGATAGGACTGGACTTTATAAGGCAATCGTTAAAAGGGGTGGCAATATTATTCAAACTGCATGTAACATACGATATCGTCGAGCAATTCCTATTTTTATGCTATACAAGATCACTACAAAGGTGATACTCTTTGCATCATATTTTGTCTTTTCATAATTAAATCGGTCAATGTTATAAAAATGTATTCTAAAAAACCTATGTTTTTCTTTCTAAAATTTTCATCTATAAAAGTATTAGAAATCTCTGATAAGACTTAAAAAAGTTTAAAATAAAATGTAAATTATATACAAATAAATAGTTTTTTAATATATATTTTTTCTTTATAAGACAAATTCTTTCCTACATAAAATAGTAGAATAGTTTTTCTTCTTTGGTATTTTGTAAAAGTTTTATTTTGTATGAATGCTCACTTTTTTAATATTGTACGATTTAATTAAATGAATTTTGTACTTTTTTACATAAGAAATAATTTGGAATTTAATTTGCAGCTTATTTACTGGGAAGACAAGCACTTTTATATGGAGCAGCAATTCACTGATCTCAAAAATAATTTTATTTACGCTATTATATTAAATAGACAAACCATAACCGGATCGAAAACACCAATACAGGAAATAATTGCCAACACTGAGCCACAAATATGCATACCAAAACCTACCAAAGAATTCCAATTGTGGCTACAATCTATAATAGAATCATCTCAAAATCTGAAAAAACAAAATTGAGTCTTTAATATATATATATATATATATATATATATATATATATATATATAACAAAACCAAAAAATATATTAATTATGCGATAAATAATATATTGCGATAATTAATATATTTTTTTGGTTTTGTTAATTTTATTTTTCTTTAAATTTTATTTGGTAATATATGTATAGTCTTAAAAATTAAAGAAGAATTTTGATATTTTATTTTTATTCAATATATCGAGTTAACATCGAAAAATTATTTCAATTTCAAAAGAGATTGATAAAAGAATATTTTTTATTTTAAACTTTTTTACAAAACATGTATGTATATACAGGGTAGGCCATTTTAATCTTTCCACTAAAATTTCTCAAAATCCAAAAGTTTAAGACAAAAATGTTTCAGATAAAAGTTGTATGGTTTCAAGGGGGACATGAGATGGTGTCATTGATTTGACCTTGAATAGCCATTTGAAGGTTACGTGAAGGTCAACTTCAATTTCTTAAATGGAACACTATATTTTTTCTTGCATACTTTTGTAGCTGACTTCGAGATCTTTCCAAAACACTACAATAAAATATTTTTTCATTAAGTATTTTTCGAGTTATTAAGGCTGCAAATTTGCAGTATTTTGACATAAAATACAAAATATCTTGGGAAATATTCATTTTTCGATTATCATACCTTAATACTTTTATGCACAGAATAATGAGATGAATCAGTTGGTGTAAAGAAAACACAGTTGCCTTTAAAAAAAATATGAAAATTGCAATAAGCAGTTAGATAATTTTTATTTAAAACAACTATGTGTTTTCTTTACACCAATTGATTCGTCTCATTATTCTGTGCATAAAAGTATTAAGGTATGATAATCGAAAAATGAATATTTCCCAAGATATTTTGTATTTTATGTCAAAATACTGCAAATTTGCAGCCTTAATAACTCGAAAAATACTTCATGAAAAAACATTTGATTATAATGTTTTGGAAAGATCTCGAAGTCAGCTACAAAAGTATGCAAGAAAAAATATAGTGTTCCATTTAAGAAATTGAAGTTGACCTTCACGTAACCTTCAAATGGCTATTCAAGGTCAAATCAATGACACCATCTCATGTCCCCCTTGAAACCATACAACTTTTATCTGAAACATTTTTGTCTTAAACTTTTGGATTTTGAGAAATTTTAGTGGAAAGATTAAAATGGCCTACCCTGTATATATGTATATATATATATATATATATATATATATATATATACATATGTATATATTTAAAGCTGCAAAAATATTAAAATAGAAAAAAGAGAATTTGTGTTTTTCTTTGTCAATATTTCTTTTATGAAATATGAAAATTTCAGTTCGATCTCAAAATCGTAGAATAATATTATTTCCTACATTTTCGATACATTATTATAAACTTATTATAATTTTAAAAAACTATAAAAATTCCGCAAAAACAACCTGTCAGTTTAATGCAATATGTAATCCTCATGTATGTGTTTGACAAAAAACATATTTATTCCATAAAACTAAAACTTTTGAAGAAATTCAATGCAAAACTGATTTTTCATATGCATATTAAAATCCATCGCAAATTAAAAATCATCGAGTTTTTAAATTAAAAAATATCACATCTTACGTTTACGATAAATCTCACTTTTCGTCGATATTGATTATAGTATATATATACATATTCGCGGCGACAATGCGACTTTACGATGAGAAAAAGAGCTCGAAATGCAGAGCGAAAAACCGCGGGGGTAAAAGCGAGATATTCGTCGCAGCTGTCAGGTCATTTTCCGAGATTTGCAGTGAATTTGCTGGTGTAACATGCTGCATGACGCGGTACCGGCAGTCTGCAAATATCGAAAGCATCTTCCGTCGTACCATCATGCCCTCCTTTCCCTTCCTCACCCTTCCCCTCTCTCTCTCTGCACCCCTCATTTCTGCGGTCTCTACGAACGAGACGACGATGCCAAGAGCTCTTCAGAAATGGACGCATCTAGACTTTTAGCGCGGAAATTCCAAGAGATATTGTCGGAGAAAAATATGATCCGCCGTAAATTTTGATCAGCGACTGTGTTAGTTTTGCTTAAAACATTACATTGTTTTTACGAAATGAGATTTATTTGTGTTGTTCCATTTTATTTTTTTCATCCATTAAATCTTATTTGTTAGCATTTTATATTAGTTTCACTATCTGCATACACTCCTACAAATGTCGTGTAAATATGGTAATAAATCTGCTACACACACACACACACACACACACACACACACAAAAGTACAAAAGTTAAAAGGGAGAAACAGAAACTCGAATTTAATTTAATTATCCTCTTGATTTCTCAAAGCAAATGTCTTTTTGTCAAAAGATACAGAAAGGGATACCTCTCGTTCTCATTTTTAAATAACGATTGATGATCGCGCTGAAATAATGAATATTATATGATCACGGATGAATAAACGTGATGTACTAACGAATGAAGAAAGGAGAGACCAGCTCGAGAATCAACTTAATAAAACAGATGAAGTTAAAACAGGTTTATATCACAATTATAATGCAAATTTCCTTAAAATAGGTTTATGGCGAAAATGTCGCGTTCGACGCACGAAAAGAGTTATTTGCAAATGAAATTTCTGGTCGACCAAGAATATGTAATAACCGAGTATATGTAAATTTTCAAATGTCAATGATAAACCAGTAATAACGGGAGTGATCGAATAAAAGAATTTTTTTCATGTTTAATATAATCATATAAACGAAATTCGTGCGACAAATAGTCCATTGCGACACAATTGCGATATGAATTAATGATTGTCCAGGAATGAATACAGCCTCCGGGCTGTAGTCGCATTGTAGAAATGAAAAACCGCATATAGAGTGGACGGTAGGGTGTTTCTGACATTCGCGGGGGACCGAACAGACAGGATTGTCGACTAAAGTTAAACGAAACTGTTGGAAAATTGCAGACGTAGGCAGAATGTCGCGTGCAACGAGTGCATCGTTATTTTTGCATCAGCCGTTACTTGTTATGAACTCATCGGTCATACATTGTGTCGAACAACGCTATTCTCACATGAGTTAACAATGGAATCGTAAATTTAAAGAAAACTTGTACGTCACAATGTATAATACATATATTCTGAATAGAATCAATCTCTTTTCTTAAAGGATCTCGGAAGATTTTGTAAAAGGTCATATCTTCAAAAGGAGATGACTTTCAAGAAGAAACTTCAAATAGATGGGGTATGGTTTTATTTAAATTAATCGATTAAATGTCATTCTAAAATTGTTATTCTTTTTCTAGCTAAAATTTATTTCCTTCACACGTTCAGAAAGAATTTTCTTACTTTTTTTCCTCAAATCAATCATCCTATCCGGAGAAAATTGTATTATAAAATTATAGACACAATAGAAAGAAAGTAAAAGTAAGTTAAAAGAATTTTTTTGCAGGAAAGAATAAACTCTTTACACGACTGCAAAATTGACAGAGGAGAAATGAGCAATGGCTTTTTAGTTTACTTGTTCGGATCATGACAATACAACGGCCAGACCAGCACATCCGTCACAACTATAAATCACGCATTACCGAAACAACCTGTCGGTCTGGTATGGTTGAACCGACAAAGGCAAAGAGAAGGAAAGAGAGAAAGGAAAAAAGAAAAAAAAATCAAAACCAACAGCGTCATATCGACGCGATGATATTTACCGGAAACGGCAGCATCCGGTTTAAATGGAAAACAAGGCACTTGTTTTTGATGGTGAATCAATCGCGACCGAAAAACGATGTCTCTACGCCTCTACGCAAAATGCAAAATCCATCGCGCCCTAGCAAATTATCAATCCGCCAATTTCCGGCTCGAAAATTAATGCTCCTGTTTACATGAAGAGCAACGCTCTCCGGCCTCGCATACGATAAATACAGGGTGTTCCTGAACAACCGATGTTTCCGGCGGCCAAGCTTTTCAGCCACCTCTGAAGTCTCTTTCGCGGAAATTCTTCCCAACGTTGTTGAAATATTTATACTACGCAAATAGCAAAAACCTCGAGTCCTGCGAAACTTGTGTGCTGTTGATGGAAGAGATTTCATCGCTGCGTGAAGGAGCGAACAATGTTACCGCGCGCGAAGTGAAATGACTTTGCTACATTCGATAAGGTAAGAATAATACGCAGTATAAGTATGAGGGTGTATGCAATCCTTCTCCCGCTAACGCGCACCTCGATAAGATGGATTTTATTGCGCGAAACGGTATGGTATATTGATTTCCCAAGCCGTAAATTATCCCGATAGGATTTGCCACGTGTCTCCGCGTCGTTCTCTTCCTACAAGTTCTAATCGCGACGCGGCTTTTTTCCGTCGCGGCGATTTATACGAGCAGCAGTTGCTTGCGAAGCTCGGTTTATCTACGTAAAATACACTCGCTTGATTCTTTATTCGCGAACATCCTATTGTTTTTGATTATTAAAAAAAGCCTATTTGATTTAGTTTTTTTTTTTATATATACATTTACGTAACTTTTATAATATTTAATTAAATGATCTGTTTTAAAAAGCATTTTTTGCGTTTCAGCTATATTAGCAAATAAAACATATCTTTATACTCGAGAAATAATGATACATCGTCCTCCAATTCTTGTTCCGGGAAAACATTTTTTATATAACGATATAAAATTACACACACACACACATATATATATATATATATATATATATATATATATATATAATTGCAAAATTATATATGCAATACATAATTAGATAAAAATGCTTTTTATCTCGAAACATTTTTATATTCAAGAAATAATATGATATCTCCTTCAATTCTTGTTAAGCAATTTTGTCGTTTGTCGCGACACTCGGAACGCAAAAGAGCGCGTAATAAGTTATTTATGCATATGCCGAACAATTTCTTGCGAAAGGGATGCTCGTAAAGTCCGTCACGGTACGAACAACCTATAATTAAACGCTCGCGAGCAGTTGCGGTCGAATTTGCATATAATTGAGATTAAAGCGTTGCTCAGAGA